CCTACACTTCAAGTATCCAATTGCCTTAAAAGTACCCATAATTGACTAAAAGCCATTAAATCTTAAGGACCTCCCATAATCCCCGCTCTAGGAGAGGCGACACAGCTCTGGGAGCGGATGCCAAATGCCACAAAGAATCATAGTAAAAATAAGGCAGGATTAACCTCGAGGGGACATCCCCTCCCTCCCTTTGCCCCAAGGCAAGATCTGCTTGGCCACGATGCTCCTCATGGATGATTTTCTAACCTGTCCCTAAGCCACCTCGGGCAGACTATTTCCACACTGGCAGGCCACGTTTTGCACAGTCTAGCCTGCAATTTAAAGTTCTTAACTTCTTGTCCAAACTTACAGGTAGAAAAGGTTAATTCTACCTTTTTACAACACTCTACAATTTGTAAACTGACTCTTTTCCTTCCATACTGGTCTCTCTCCTTTAGGCTAGGACAGCTCTCAGGGTTCCGTCCTTCCTCCTAGTTTACGCTGCCTACCTCTGGGCGTTCCCACTGCTCTCTTCTGGAAGAGTGGCACCAAGGGCCAGGCAGAGATGGCAGCTGCAGCTGGTTTCCCAACACCGACTAAAGTAGAAGGATTTATTTCTTCTGTTTTGCAGACTATACTCTGTTTATACTCTATATAGTCTGTCCCTGTCAGTACAGTTATGCCCTTTTCACTATCGCAAGACACCACTGACGTGTGATCAGCTCCTGAGCCACCCTGGCCCAACTTAACCTTTTTATGAAGACCTGCTACCTCTTCCCCACGCGCACAATATCTTCTCTTTGTCCTCATCAAACTTCACCTGATTTTCTTCAGATCACTGCTCCATGAGCTTTGATCAGCTCAAATGCTAATCCTCCAGCATTCCTCCAGTCCCTCCAGGTTTGATGTTATCTGCCAATTTAACGGCCAAGCCTGCCTGATTCTTGATGAAAGCAACGAAAAGAATGAAATACAGGAATAAACCCTGAAGAATAAGCCCCTACCACAGCTGGCAAGTCTCTGGGAACAGTTATCCAGCCAGTTTTGTGCTCACCCTACTGTGGCTTGCTGTAGACCATATTTTGCTAGCTCACATATGAGAACGACGCTGAATTTCCAAAGCCCTTCTAAAGTCAAGGCAGATGACACCTACCTGTTCTACTGTATCCATAAGGCCTGTTAACTTGTCATAAGAACAAAGGAGATTTACAACATGTGATTTGTTCTTGACAAATCCATGTCAGCTGCTACTATTCTCCTTGTCACCCTCAGGTGCTTACACAAATGTTGTTTAAGTATGTGCCTGAATTTTCCGGGTTTGAAATTAAGCTGTTCTATAGTTTCCTAGTGTATTTTGCCTCCTCTCTAAACACAGGTGCTTCGTCTGCCCTATTGCAGTCTTCCAGTGTCTCCTCCAAAAGTTCTCTAAAGTAACTAATAACGCTGCAATTACATCCATCAACTCTTTAATAGGCTGGCATAACACTCATCAGGCCTTGTCAAATTGAAAACTCCTCTTGGTGCTTTCTGCCTTGTAGTCTCCCTGTTTTTGGCTCAGCTCTCAGCATTCTTTTGCTGCTCTTAATTGCACTAGCTGCCTTAAGAGAGTTGAGGCAAAAAAGCTATTTAACACTTCAGTCCTACTGGTTACTGGCTTTCCCTCATCACTGCATAGCAGCAACCCCCACCCCCAGCCAGGAAACTACTTGCACTCTCTTCCCCTTTTCATTGCTAGCAGAGACGTTCAGGCATCTTCCTCCAGCATGCTGGTCCTCCAAGCAGGTGTACTCACCTCTGCCACCCCCTTTTGTAACACTTCTTTCTACATCCCATACTTCTTCCCAAATAGAAACATGCTCAGCCAGCCAACCTACCATCCTGATTTTTGTCCCTCCTGTGAATGCATGAGGAATAAGCCTGTTTGTCCATCCCCTTGTCCAGGCAGGCAGTTCACTGAGGGTTTCCATGTCACAACAGTTCCACGGCTGCAACCACAGACCCTCCCTGTGAGCCGCTCACATGCGCTGTCCATCAGAAATCACTGCTTTGAAGAGCCCTCACCAGACTCTCCGGGAAGCCTGGAGCCCTGGGGCAGCAGAGACATCAGTTCTCCCTTCCGAAGCAGTCCTGTGACTGCCGCTTCTGGCTCCTTACAAAAGGCCCACAGAGTACAGCTTTTCAAGTCTTAGCTTCTCACTGGCACATTCCCAGCTACAGAAAAGGAGAACGGGAAAAATTCTACCTAAATATTACAACACTCTCTTAAAGCAAGAAAACTGGTGATTGTTGACACCTACTACTATGTGTTGAATAGCTATTTTGAGAGAGGAGAGGTAAAAAAAGGAAAGAAAGGAAGGAGAAAAAAAAAGCTTCTGAGCAGCTTAAAAGAAGGCATTTTCAGTGAATTTTTCTAATCTATCTATTACATTATTTGCCCTCCACATCTACAGTAGTTGCAATTTAAATAAAACTCTGTGCAATGTCTACAGAGCTCACTTGCTGTTATTCCCACTAAGCTCTACAAGCCTTCTGCCTTAAGGAAATCGTTTGGGATGGCTTCATCCATTCACACCTACTGCAGCAAGTCCTCTAAGCAGTCACATCTCCAGGCCAAACTCTCCAGTTCTTGCTCAGCACCACCCTTGGGTGCATGCTAGATATTTGCAATGACAGCCACAGTTATTCTGCCCCACAGTTGGTGTAAAATGGCAAAGTGCTGCATTGAATTAAGCCAGACACAGGTCTGGCTCCTTGGGGTTCAGAAAATAGGGATATATCTTCCCCTGGTGTGTATTCAAATAGTATATAGCTAGTTAGACTGTGCTTCAGCCTGCTCGGCAGAGAATAAAGGTTTCCAAGCAGGATCCTCTTTCTGCAAGAAGGTGGGGATGCTGGGGTTTTTATTTTATTATTATTATTTCTGCATCTACAGTTACATTATTTTTCTCCAGCTACCACTCGTGTGACAGTGATGAAAGGAGACATCCGAGACTACAATCTGCTCCTTGCTGCCATGCAGGGAGTTCACGTGGTTATTCACACAGCTGCTATTGTGGACTACAGAAACACTGTACCCTTCTGGGAAATGAGAGCTGTCAATGTCGAGGGTAAGCTCTTTAAAACAAGCAATTAAATACAGAACTACATTCACACACCTTGGTGTGGGGTCATACGAGAAGCCACAACATAAGTGTCCTCTCTGATTTAGTGCTCCTTGCCCCTGTTTCACAAGCACCACCCGGCCGGGACGTGAGAAAGGTGCCCACCGCCTCCCCTGCCCAGCAGGCAAGTTGCTGCTTTTGCCCCTCTGTCCCTCGTGCAGGGCAGACTGTGCCGCCCCCCTCCACTGCTAAAGGTGCATCTTACTTAAAAAGTCAAGCTGGAATCCCAATATCATACAGTTTTTCTGATCGGGGTACAACTTCCGCTAATGGCACTGAGATGATACAGTGATACCACTACAGTGATAATACAGTGCAGTGACTTAGGAACACAAATCCTGGACCAAGATCCTGTTGTGCAACACGGTTTAGAAATGCAGAATAAAAAGACCATCTCTGCTCTAGATAGCTTTGACTTTCCCAGGGAGTCCCAGAAAGTTTACACTATATACCAGCGCAAGACTACTTATACCAGTTAAATGGCATCCACGCTCTAAAAGAGAGATGTTGTTTTAATTGTAGTCACACAGTTCACAAACTACTGTGCATCTACAAGCCATGCATAACAGAGAGCTTCTCTTCAACATTTTCTCCCGATCACCAACAGCCAATTTCATGTTAGGTACAAGATCTGCTTAAGGAAAATTTGTTCATAAATCTAAGAAATAAGCATGGGCTATAAAAATAATGAAATCCCTATTACAGCAGCAATTCCAATGGCACCTCAGGCTGTTAGCTACTAAAATAGTTGTTAACCACAAGGAAGGCATTTATATATAGATTTATATAAATATATATATCTCAAACTATCACTGCTGAGGGCTTCTACTATTTACTGATGCGTTCAAGGTAACATTTAAATTCCATCTCCTTTTCATTGCTGTTGTTGTTTTCAAAACCAGATGCTTTTAAGAGCCTGTATTGTGTACGTGTACCAACAATATTTAGAGCTTGAGGGTTCCCACTGTCTTTTAAAGGCTTTGTGAGATCTTCCTCTTCACTGTCTGCTTGCGATGAACGAGGTACTTTACTATAGTCAGGTTTTTGCAGATAGCAATGAACTCAGAACTCCCATATTCAGCATGCCAAACCCCTTGCAGATGTTTGACTATCCCAGAAAACCACACACAACAAGTTTTTCCCCAAAGTAACTAGTGATTCTGAGGGCCTTTTAGAGGAGCGCAGTCTGAGATACCTTAATGGGAGCCTTATTTTCAAAGATGAACTGTTCTGCATTTCTGCATTCCCTTGGACGGTTTATGTAGACCTCCCTAAACCGAGACTGCTGCCCTCAACAGCACTTCTCAAAATCTTGAACTGTGAGGTTATCCTAACGAGTTTTCCACTAAAATCAAAGCAGGCAAGAGAATAGAAATGAATTACACTTGATATCTGCTGTAGACTTCATGGAGAAAAAAAGGGTCAAGAAAGGGTCAAGAAAGGTCACTGTGTAATCCTCTGCCTGGCCTCTCTTCATAGCTCAGGCTGCAGAAACCCATCCACTTACTGATTTAAGCCCAATAATTTGTGGCTAAATTGGACTATGCCTTTTCAAAAGACTTCTGCCTAGGTTTAAGGACTGCAAGTTAATGGACTACCTATCATGTCTTTCAGCAAACCATAACAGTGCTTCATAATATTAATGTGGCTATTACCACATTGCCAGAAATTACCATTTCTGGCAAAAATTTACATCTCCTGTTTTGATTTTCTCCTAAGTTTCAACCACTGGTTGCTGAATCCTGTTACAGCCTTGTTGACTAGACTGAAGAGCTCTCTCCTGTAAGAATTATTTTTTCCATCTAGTCACTTAAAGACTTTCTAATTTGCTTTTTGTTAAGCTGAATGGATTTGAACTCAGCTCTTTCCGGTGATGTTTCTCTACAGGGGTTCTCAGTTACCTTTGCATATTGTGATAGGCTAATGGAGAAGTAGACTGATTATTTTCCACTGGGGTGTTCATATTGATTCATGCCCTTAGAAATTATCCTCAGCCCAGGACTTCCTTGACAATTTCAGATCATACCTTTAACAACAAAGGGAACAGATAAACCAGAAACCCTCCAAGCAAGACCTTCAGCAAAGCTCAAGGGCAGAGCCTGATTACCCAGGTATAAATAGGATGGAGATTTCTGGGAACCAACCCTGTGAGCAGCTTCCTTAAAGATCTATCTTATATTTGAAGGCCCTCAATATGCAACCATAGTTTTGCTGCTGTCATTGTGGTTCTTGCAGAATAGCTTGAATCAAAATCATTCAGAATGCAAAAAAATCCCCCCGGAAGAGTCATAAATCATTAAAACAAAACAAACCCCAGTAACACAAAAGCACAAAAGCACATACAGACCCACAAAGTCGACCAGAACAAGCATACATCCTGACCTAAGTATTGGTTAACCTGACTGCTGTTTGGTTAGTACATTACCTGAAGCAAACTAGTTACAAACAGCTCACACCCAAGCAACAAATCCTCAGCTCTTGAGAAGCTGTAAAACCAAGATATAAAAATCAGCCACTTTTTGGGTTGTCCCTAACACGCACAAAACAACTGTGGCTGAATCACTACAAGCTAAGACTGATGTTGGATTTTACTACCTTTATTCTTGTCAAACTAGCTTTTATTCCCATATGCAAGCACTGTTCCTGGAAGGAAATAAATGCTTGCTACGAATAAGGATGACAAAAATAATCTTTGAGCTTTTGATACAAAATGAAGCTTCTATTTCTCCATTTCATAGGGGAGACTCAGCTGAGAACTACATTAAATGTATTACAAGAAACTTCTAGCTTTCTCAGCCATGCTCAATCTCAGCCATGCTTTAGATCACTCACATTTCACGTGGCTTTGTAAGTCACCCCCTACTATTTTATTTAGTCTGGCATTTTGCAGGATTCTATTGCAATCGTTTTCACCCAGTAGTCCATGATCCTTTGCAGAACTTCTAAAGAATAATATATGCTAACTAAAACAGCAAGCCTTTTGTCAAAAGGCTGCAATTCACCTCTTTACAGATTGGCCGCGAATAAAAAAAAAAAAAGCTGGAAAATATGAAGCTTTGTTCTGTTTAGCTGAAGACTTCCTCAACTCCCTTTTTTAGTAACTATTAAGTACAAATTAAATCAGCTGTTAATAGCCACAGAGGTTAAGCCACATTATAGCTTCAAGTGTGGCTGCTACTCTTATACCATAAGCCATCCAAGCCTGTACAAATGCACCAGACCAAGCCTGTACAAATGCACAAATGCACCAGAGCTGCTTTGAACATATGTTTTTACAATAATTAACAAAAAAAAAAAAAAAAAAAAAGGCCGGGGGGTGGAATGGGGGATCTTGGTCCAAGTCAGAATCTCAAGTTTGGAAGTCTGTTGACTTGCATAATAGGAAAATAGGAATCAAGGTAAGGGGGTAAACGTTTGTCCTTCCCAACATGCCCATAGGTACTCGGAATGTGTTAAAGGCCTGCTGTGTCCTGAGCATCCCGTATGTTGTCCATACAAGTTCCATTGCTGCAGTGGGACCCAACACTTCGCATGAGCCCATGTTCAGGTAAGGCTAAGCAGATCTCTTCCATCGCTCTGGATTTCCAGAATAAACAGCAATAAAGCTGCAATCAGATGGAGATTCCTGTTGCGACTCCAAAGGAAAAGACCTCTTCCTGACTATGCTTGAATCCTTTTTTCTTTCCTGAAAGTCCTTTGCTGCTCTTCACTTTCAGGAATCACACTCTGAAACCCAGCCTAAACTAGTGGATACTGCTGACTAAAAGAGTTGGTGGAGAGATGTATGACCCAACTGCATCCCCAGGCTCCGTCCCTCATATGCTGGGCCCTGCTCCTCTAGACTCCGAGATGAGTTTTGGGTTTGAGCTCAAAGGTAACCTTTACAGCTAGTCACAGCTTCCCCAATGATCCCTCCACCTGCCTATTAGCATGTGCTCTGCTGAAGGCCAGAGACTGGCCTTTCAAGCAGGACCTAAGAGTGCACAGATGAGTTTTTAGGAATTGCTCAAGTTTTGTGACAAACTCAAGTTTCTCTTGGCTTTGAGCGAGATATGTTTTCACACATGCCTCAAATCTCTTTACACAGTGAGTCGATCCAGGGGGCAGGTGATAGCCTACCATTACCAACCCACTTTCCCTCCTTTTTTTCAGCTCCACAGTGAATTTCCAGCAAGCCTGTACCATCTCCTATTATGAAAAGGAATCAAATGTATACAGGCCATTTTAAAATAATGCTACCTCAGAAGAAGGCTAGTTGGCAACATTTTCTTAGGAGACAGATGCAATTGGTGTGAAATCGCCCTGCAGTTTTCATAAGATTTACGCTCTGTCTGCAACCAGGCTCTGACCTGGTCTTCATAAGCTTTTTCTCTCACTGTTTATGCTGTATTAGGCTCAGGAAAACACCAAAAATGGCCATTGCCACATAAGCCTGTCTCTCACAGACTGTACCCATAGCCGTAATAGCACCTGTAAATTGCGCCCTCTTATCCCCTAAAGTCCTTTCTCCTGGTGAGATGCTCACCAGGACCAACTCCCAGACTCTGCATTTTTGGGCATTATGCTGGCCTCATCTTTTCTTTAGGTGGCTCCTCCCAGAAGCAGCAGAGACTGAGAAAACCTTTTGAAGCAAAGGTGGGATTTGGAGCAATACAAAGGTGCTGGGCAAAGCTAGGATTATTTTGCTTACATATCATTGATTTCCACAATTGACTGTCACAATCAACTGACGCTCCTGCTCAGGACTCAAGATCTGGATATATTTTGTATCCACAGGGCTCTGCATGGAGCATCAGGACTTGGACCTTGAGAACAGGACTGATATTTCTGAAGGCTGAGAGCTCAAGTTTTAGATCAAATTCTTAGTCAGCTAGAGATATCTGCAAGGCTTCTTGCTGAATTCAAGCATGGTTGTGTCTACACAGCCTGCTCAGACCGAACTGGCTCAAAGTCAAGTTCTGTCTCTACAGGCAGCCATTCTAGACACAGCTGGCTTGAGTCACTTGGCTCTAGAAATTTGAGCCTAGCTAGAAAAGGCTGTTTCAGACATAACTTAACATGACCTATAAGCCTAAAACTCATATTCACAAGTAAGCTAAGGCATAGCCAAGTTGTTTTGAAAAGCATTTAAGCACCCAAATCCACAGAAATAAATATGCCTGGCTTATGAAAAAAAAAATCCATGAGAGCAAGAAATCCTCCAACGACTTGGGAATGTATTTGAAGCTCTGGTATCACTGAAAGGCTACCAAGTTTGGTCATGAGCATATCTAAGTTGTTTCCAAAACTGGATATGGGCAAATGCCCATTCTTGTTAAAGTTTTAGTCCTTGTTACCTAAGAGATGAACGTTAATAGGCGTTTTGGAAAATTTACCCCAATTCTTGCTTGAGAGGACAGTTCACTGTCTTGTAATAAAGCCCAAATGGGTGTGAGCAGTAACCACCAAGGGTGATGCTCCTAAGTGCTACATGCAAACATCCTCTCTCCACCAACTCCCAGTCCTTCCCCTCCTCAAATGCAAACGAAACTGAAACTGTCACCTAGAGCCTTTAACTCATTTTGCAGAACACACTCAGCTCCTTCACATCATGCAAGGAGAAAGCCTGCCTGGAAGAGTGGTCCTTATTCTCCAAGGATTTTGGTTTTAAACTACATTAAGGCAATTACATCATGTGAAGTGAGAGAAGAGCCAGGCCCCTGGTCAGAAGTTACACTCGTTGGCTCCACAGGGAGCCCAGTGATGGCTGGGAAGCTGCACAATATGGCTCTGTCTCCCAGGCTGAAAACACAGGTGATGCTGCTTTCCCCTCCCTCTGCTTCTTCCTTTTCTCCTCTCCCCTGTTCCCACCCAATCTGTTCTGCTCTTCTCCCTCACAGCCCATGATCCAGCCTGCCTTTCTTCCTTTTTCCTTTGCTCTGTCCCCTTTCTCCGTCATTCCTCGTATAATTTTATTTAACTCACTTTTACATGCTGGGGAATTGACACAGACAAAGCATGATTAGTCTCCGGACACGGTGATGGGTGCAGGGATAACACTAACACCTCAGCAGCCGACAATAATAGAAAACGCTTCTGTCAGTCTCAATCCCTCTGAGACAGCCGCCGCCAAGATACCTTCTGACAATGCTGCTCCAGTCTTATTAGCGTTCAGTTATCTGTGATCGTTTTGAAAAGCAAGAGCATTATGCTGAGCTCTTTGTTACTACCGAGCCTCAGCTTCAAAAGGGGGTGGGGGAACGCAAACACAAGCAGAGCCCCGGCAGCCCACAAACAGGTCGCCCCTTTTAAGCTGCTGCTTTTTAAAAGCTTTGCAAGGGGAGAGAGAGAGAGAAAAAAAAAATCAGATATAAAAAGAAAGCAATTAAAAGTAGAACTTCTAGATAACCCTTCTAATTGTCTTGGGCCTCTCCCTGGCACAGAACAAACCGTGCACAATCAATCTTTTGTCTCGGCTTGTTTTCTAGTTTGTCTCCTGCTCATCACCCGTAAACACTGGGAAGGGGAGGAGGGAGGGTTTTGCGATAAGAGCGCGGGGCGTGCAGGGAGGCTGCGCTGCCATTGCTGCAGTGCAAGTCGGCCCTGATCTCAACCGGGATATCGGACACGCAGGATACTAGACTGCCAAATAGGCAAGAGAACGGCAACCACGCTATCCACTTGTCATACATGGAGGTCTGAGCACAGAAAAGACCATGCAAGTTGCCCAAGGTCCAACAGGGAGCCTGAGTCAGAGCCAGAAACTGAACTTGCTCTCCTGAGGCCCAGTGTTTGCCAAAAAGCGCTCTGCCGCACACTCACCGCATGAGCTTGTGATGAGCCACTTAACCTGTCCAAAACACGTGTCCGAGCCCTGTCTGCAAAGGGAGGGTGGTAATACTTCATTGCCCTGTTTGTCTGGCATAGTCTGGTGCAGGGCCTTTGCCTAGTGAGTGTTTCACTTGGAGAGCAAAATACAGAGCACATTAACTTAAAAACGTGCAGGAGGTCCCAAAGGTCTCCTGAAGCACTCTTGCAGCACACAGGAAGCAGAGGGAGCCAACACAGACTTGTAATCCCAGGAAGAGAGCACAAAGTTTCGGTGGATGGTCCTTCCCCATGCTCCAGTTGAGCGTTTTTCATGCCTCAACTCCTCCTGAGCCCCCTGAATCCACTTAACCAAATCCTACCAGACACAAGGATTGAGCTAAACACCAGTGCCCTGGGGGAATAATGCTGCTTTCTTAGTTCTCCTTGGAGCTATTTCAGGGTCTGTGTTGCCAATTACCTGTTAGGTCCCGTGGGCTTCCCTCCTTGCAGCTTTAAGCAAGGATGTGTAGCCAGCCAAGGAGCACACTGCCTTCTTCCAAACAGCAACGACATGCGTCTTGCATGGCCGCGAGCCCTGCTTGCCCCTAGGCATGCACTTATTTCTTTGCTCGCCCCCTCAGTACATGCTTTCCTGAGGGGGTCGAAGGAATAATCCTAGCACAAACCTACCAATCACACGTCTTCCCTGGGATCACCTAGCATCTCTGTCAAGTCACTGGCTAACAGCTCCCAGTTCTCATGAACTCTATGAGAAAACGAAGCAGCAGCTTCTCCTTTTAGTTGAAAGCTCATGAGAGGCTTTGCTCTACCTCTTATAAAACATGAACCAGGATTTGCTTTCATTTTTCTGCCCTCCATCTTCCTGTGCCACTGCCACCTTGCTCAGTCACTTGTGAGTTGCATAAGAAGGAAACTCTGCTGCCTTCTAATCTGCCTGTCGGCATATTGTTTGCTTCAGTCACAACGTATTAGACAAAAGCAAATCCACCTCTTCAAAAAATCAAACATCCGCCCTCATCTGCCTATAAACCCCGCTTTTGCCTAATCCTCCTCAGAATCTCCTGGTATTTCTTGAGGCCTCATTTTCCCAGGCTGCAACAAGTTTCTGAGACTCACGTGCTCACTGCTGAAGGTAAGTCCCTGAAGAGCCGGGGAAGCAGAGTTGTGACACACCTCTCAAAAGCCCTGAGCTCTGCTCTGTGGTCACTCACTGGCTCTAACAATCTGTTTCAGAGGAAACGAGGATACCAAATACAGTGGGGAAGTGGAGCTGCCTTATGGGAAGACAAAGGCCATGGCAGAAAAACTGGTAGCTGAAGCCAATGGAAGAAAGGTACAAAAGTCAACATCCCTGGTATTAATACATGGGACTGGTGGAAGGAGAGAGGTAGTTAGAGACCCCACAACACATTTCTTAGTGAATATCTAACTGCTGGCTTGACTTGATGTACAAAACCACATTGACCTAAGCTTATCAAAGCCTGATATTCCCACATCATCAGCAAGCTGACAAACCATTAAAAGACCAAGATATGGCACTGGCCTTTGAGCCTATGCTTAAACTCCATCAGAGCAGGACTTCTGAATGTGCTGTGTCACCAATTACCTGAATAAAGATGTCATTTTCAGACATGTCCAAGTGATTTAAATTAGAGTGCCCAGATTTAGCCACCTAACCAGCTAAATTAGCTGGCCTATTGTTTCGGACTCCCAGTTCAGTCAACCGGGAGAGGAGTGCTTCTACAGGAAGACTGAGAACATATAAATTAGGTTTCGCTTCTAAATCACCACCTAGAGCTTTTCTCTCTCTTCGTTACAGTTTGAGGCTAGCCAGCCAGTTTAGCTAGCTTCATCTGATACCTAATTTTGGTTGTTACAAATACTCCTTTATACCTCAAATGCAAAATGGGTTAACGCTGCTGGGAACCTCCGTCCAACATCTTTCAGTGAGCACCACACAGGTGCAGGTGTGCTTTGGAAAAATCAAACTGGGCATCTCCGTGCACATTTAGGCACCTAAACAAGACTCTAAATGTCCAGATCACTTTTGCAAAGGTTGACTCATCTATCCCAATTTCCCTAGATCTTGGTTTTATCTGACACATCCAGCACTACTTCAGAAGACTTCACCTCTCCATCTGTCACATGCTAACATCCCATCCTGATTTTACAGCTCAGCAACAGTGGGAAACTTGCAACCTGCATCATCCGGGCAAACATGGTATATGGAGAGAAGGCAACGTTTCTTAAAGATTTGTATTTACGGACCAAAGCCAGGAACAGCGTGTTGAACTACCTAGAGCCTGAAAACACAGAGCGTAATTGCACGTATGTGGGTGAGCGACTGACTGATTTCTTTGCACGTGGTTCTACCATACTGTTTTAGTCACAGGGGATTTTACACATCAGCTTACCTATAATCTTCCAAGACAGAAAGAGATGAGCATGGTGAACGAGCACAACTATTTTTACAACTGTAAAACTTAGTCTGGCAAAAGAATTTTAAAAACAGTTGTTTACATTTTATTTTTCCTGGGAAAGGCTGTCTTTCTTTTTTCCTTTCGTGTCCACATAGGGAAAAATGTTGTTTGGAAAACTGGAAAAAAAAAAAAGAGTCAGCAGAAAAAGAGATAGAGATCTAATTTTTCTTTTTCCAGGGAAACATTTCAAGGCATGTATGGGTGAGAGAGATATTCAGGTAATATTTTTAGAATGTTGTTCAGTTTGAAAAAAACATGCTTTCATTAAACAAAACTAAACTAACACTATTTATAAAATTAGGGAAAGCATTCCTTAGGAAAAAAAGGCTGTACTACCTGATTTTAGACAGCAAAAGAGGCTTTTTTTAAAAAACCTATAGAAATAGTCTGTTTTACTGTTGAATGCATTACTGGGGAGTGTAATTCACCATTAAATCATGTGGGCTTTTAGTTATTTCTGCAGAGCTCACTTACATGCCTTTTTCCAAAAGTGCAGATAACAATAGTTTTAAAATGCTGTTAGAGAAGAATCAGGCCTAGATAAATCAAGTGACTTGTTCAAAGACTCGCAGCAGAGCCAGGAATAAAACGTGAGTGCCCTGCCTCCCATTCATCCTATTCTCACTACAAAACACTGCCCTTTCACTTCACATGAACCAGTTTCACAAGGAACATTAATTGTCCAACTCAAAGAGGGGACCAAAGGTTTAAAGGACCTTGGAGGTTTGGATTTAACTACTCAGTCTCTCCATGGTGAGGCCAAGTAACAGTGATGAGTGCTCTGCCTCCTTCACAGGAGTGAAGCCAGCAGACCCAGCGCATTCTTTCGCTCCTATGATAAACAGGCAAAGTCAGCTCCTCCTGAATTCCTGTCTCTTCCCCCCCCCACACTCTTTTTTCTCCAGGGAACGTTGCATGGATGCATGTCCTCGCAGCAAGGAACTTGCAGCTGAAACCAGACTTACTTGCTGGACAAGTGTATTATTCCTATGATGACACTCCAACAAGAAAAGGGTTTCTGATCACGCATCAACTGTTGTCCTCTGTGGACCCTTCAGTACGACTGGGCTCACACATCCCTTACTGGAAGATGTGGTTAATAATACACTTTCACAGAATAATCAAGGTCATCTTGTACCCTTTTTGGAAGCCACAGCCTTTCCTAAACTTGCCTTTACTGAACACAATAGTCACCACCTTCTCCTATGAGACAGACAAAGCCTTCAGGCATTTTGGGTACAAACCCCTCTTCAGCTGGGCAGAGGGCAAACAGAGGACTACACAGTGGTTGAAAGCAACTATAGGAAACATGGGATCCCACCAGCTTCATGAAAAGGAGAACTAAGCAGCATGTTTTGGAGAAAGAGAGAGCTTATCACAACAGCAAGTTTCATCTGAATTTCACAACACACAACTCCTGGGCAGGAATTTTGCCGACATCAGGAAGTCCTTATACAGGCAGAGAGGGAGCAGAACTCTCTGGCTGCAGGTACACACCCTTGCCACACCAAGAAGTCCACTCTTTCAAGCGTCATATGAAAAAAACATGGTGCATCTGAAAGTATCCTCTTGCCGTGATATAGAGTCAGTGATGTATGGACAGATGCAGGTCTCGCTGGCCTCACTCATTCCAGCAATGCCACCCCTGCACTGGGATCACCCATGGAAACAAGGGACACACAATTAGAAGAGAGATGGCGCTCAAAGGCATTTTTTACTTCAGTTTACTAGTTCTGCTCCAAAGCACAACGGACCAACTCCAATACCCTGATCTCAAGCAGCTAAGCAGGATATCTTTATTTGGCAACATGCTAAAGGGGTCTCCAGTGATAATTCTTGGAGAAGAGCAGGAAAGCCCAGAAAGATCTTTTAAAGGTTTAGGCAAAGTTTTAGTTTCAAAGTTTTAACAGAAAAGAAAAAGATTTTTCCCTTTTCCAGAACCACTTTTTTCCCAAGATTCGTCTTATTTTTCTAAACTTGTGAGATATTATATCTCTCTTAAATATTATATCTATTAAAGGAAATGTATGATATCTTGCACTAACAATGCATTGGTTGAGTTACATTCTAGCTGTACAGCTTGAGACCTGATAACTACAAGCTTAGAGATGCGCTACATATAGTTTGTAACTCCAGTGCTGTAACCTCACTTCACGCTAGCGGTAAGGCAAAAGAAATTAAATCCCACATTCAACCACCACACTGGCAGGAGGGAACTTTAGTGAAGGCCTTAGCAGCTGTATTTATGCTAAATAATGTCTGAACTTCAGAAACTAGAAGTTATTTTAACTCATTCCGTTATGCCGGAGCTACACAGTCCTTCGGGGAACAACGTTTCACAGATGAGATTTTTCTAACACAGATGGGACACGCACTTACAGAGAATTCACAATGAAAATTCACAGCACAACGATGACTGTGGTTCGTATCAGCTTACCAGCTCCTCTATTTTTAGGACATACAGAGAGAGTGGTAAACCAATAATAAGCACAACAGAGATTTCAGTTTTCACTTGAACTTGGAGAAGCAGGAAATTTCTACAATACTTGTTTAAATTTAAAATTAATTCTATTAGTATCAAGCTGTTTAAAGTACTTCCCTGTTTTATGAACATGTAACCATCTCTCAAGTCTTCCTACAATGAAGATGCATGCATACCCAATAAAAGCTTATTTTAATTAGAAGAGCCCTCATCCTCATGGAAAAAGCAAGTTTCAGCATGATATGTTTGATAGAAATGATCAAAATTCGCTTCTTGTTAGTTACAGTAATTACCCAGTAATGAAAGTGAAGCAATACTGTGTGAGGTGCCAAGTTAACTTCATTGAAATTCACAATCACATGCGAATTCTTTGCAAAACAAGCTTCCATACCAAAAAATCACGTGCTCAGGTAATTCATGAATAATTCCATACAACAAATAAATTTCTGGGGAAAAAAATTGCAATCTGCTCCTATAAAATTTGGGAAGGTGAAATGAACTGCGTAAGTTATCAGTTCCCTACGTTTTATCCTTGATCTATTTGTGCTGGGAAGTTTTTGAGAAAAGGAATAAGGTCATTGGGTTTTTTATTTCATTAGTAGCCGTCTTTGCAGTTTTCTGTTATTATTCAAATGGTAGATGACAGCTTGCTGAGAAATTTGACAAAGAAATATATTCCCAATTTCTCCTGCACAATGCCAGAGCATCACCATGGTACAGTCACATTGATCTCAACAGGTTTTAATGCTTCTGAAACCTTGGTTTTATGTTGCCAAAAAAGAGCCACTGGGTGGAGCTGCAAGTCCAAATGTGAGACAGGTAACTTCGCCTTCAGATTAAGTGTTGCAACAGCTTTGGCTTTAACTGGTTTTATAAGAATTGAAAGGCTTGCCTAGACAGCAAGGTTGATGCCTGAGCATCCGGGTTTGTCCTCGGCTTGTGGCATTTGGATTTTGGGACTTTCCTCTAGGCTGGCTGCTTGCTGTCATCTTTTTATCTCCATGTAGTCATTTAATCAAAAGAGACCTAGGAAATTATTTTGCCACTCATAACCCATTAAAAATTAATAAAAGTTCGGTTCCTATTTTAAAAAAAAAATAATGAAATATGACATTCTGACCTTTGAGAAAACCTGCCTAGGTACAACAGCTGATGCTTTCAGTCCCATTCAGAGCCTTGGGTACATTTGTTTGAGGGATTTGGAGCTACTGAAGATACCAGCTGGGATGCATAGGGTTGCTCCTGCCCCACTACTGCCCCAGAGATCAATGTTATAACATTTCTTGCCTGCTTTCAGGAATCTTGCTGGGAAACTCATTAAGTTTTTTTAAAAAAAAAAAAACACACCAAAAAAACCCCCATACCTATCCTGCTCATTAGCACCTAACATTCTGATGCTTATTGAGATGCAGATGACATGTAGGATTAGGTGCAAGTATTTTAGATGGTAGTTATGTGTACAGTCTTTCAAAAGGACCTGAATTACTTAGCTACTCAGCTTTTTCCTATACCTTCCCACCTCCCAAGCTTCAAAAAAAAAAAAAAAAAAAAAAAAAGGCAAGCAGAGGATTCCCTTTCCCTGCTCATGGTTGAAGTCAGAGGAAAGGCTTAGACAGCAAAGGCTCTGAGCTGTTTCCCAAAAAGATGAGTAAGCTTCCTTTGGCTGCACTGCATTTTGGCTCCTAAAAGCTAATGCTGCTGCAGACTTCCTGTTAGATCCTTGATTTTTATCAGATTATAACTTGTTTTCTCTTGGCAATGCTTTACTTCTTTCTTTTGCACTGGGTTGTCATTGGCTTTTCTGTTCAGGGTCTCAGCCCTATTATGTAACAGCAGCAGCAAAAAAAGAGAGGGAAAAAATTTTTTTTCAGATCTGTTTCTACTTCTGGAGAGGAGCCTTTGTGCACAATTACTCATCCAAGAGATTCAGCAGGTATAACTGCTTCCCCCAGGGGCTCCATTATATAATTGGATTTCAGCCATACAAATTAAATCCTATCTTACCCCTTAGTTAAGCCAGGCAGTAAGTATTTAATGCTAATATCCCTGACAACTATTGCAGGGAGCAGCAGAGAAGAAGCACAGAAGAGACGGATGCATACGCCGTCTACCAGCGGAGCAAGGAGAACGAGAAGAGAGTTCATTGACAGAAAGACACCTGCTATATTTTTAATCTGGTGAAACTTCCCCACTGCAAATCATGGCACCTGCTGGAGGAGCTGTCAGAGCTGGAACTTTGTTCTCTCCTGGTTTTCTGCCCTCCAATGTTCCCACGTGTGCACTGAGCATCCGTTTTCTCTCCCCCTCAACACACACACACCCCTGCCTTCCACCCACCCCTTCAAAGGGCTGCATGCCTAACCTTGCTTGAGTTTCTATGGAAGTCTCCGTTCTTGTGCAATGTCTGAAAGAAGCAAGTTTAGTAATATTAAGACTCAAGCCAAACACACAACCGAGCAAAGAATCCCCAAGTTAAAAAGAAAATCTCAATCTAGTTACTCACGCATCTGCATTTTCTATTGCCTTCTGTCTTCTCCAGGCATGTTTCTTTTAGACAAAGCCCTCTGGGCAGAGACCATCTCTTTTGGTGTCTGGTACATCAGTCACAGAGTTAGTACATGGTAATAAAGGAAAATAGATTCATGGTAGGAGTCAAACCAGTCAGTCTGGTACCGTAATTGGAACATAATCTCATATTGACAGTATTTAACACAGGATGTGCAGGAACAGATGGCAGCATGCCAGGCCTCAATCATTCAGCAAATATTGGAAAGATATTTTCTGAATCCAGCCTCTGAACCTCATCTCCAGTGTCAGAAGCCTTCCTTCCCCAAACTGGCCTAGATCCACTCACCCACCCAGGAAAAATCCCCAACATAACCATGTACTTTGGAGTTCGCAGCCACCCTGGCTTGTCCCTCTCTAATAGCGTTTCTAGTGTTCAATGTCTTAATAAATGTTTAGAGAGCGCTTGAAAAAGCATCTGCCACGCGCTCCTGCGCCTCTGGGTACACTCGCCAGTCTTCGCCCTTACAAACAGCGATCTTGCCCGTGACACAAAACATGAATCCCTGTGCAAGGTCTGCGTTAGGTATGGCCCTCACCACACCAGTCTGCCTTTTCTTTCCTCTCTCTCATCTTCACTTGTACAACTTCACTCAATGGCGGCAAAACTTGCAATAAAGAGTTGTTCTCTCCCCTAAGCCTGAAACAGCTACTTAGGGCAGGTAAAGCACATTTATGTCCAAGCTGCATCTTATCCCAGGGAGCTCTGTAGTGTGAGCGTGCGCACGTACTCAGCCCCTCCAAGGGCATGGGTACTGCGCTTCCTATATCCTGCTACAGCAAGTTTAAAATGATTTTTCTCTATTTTAGCAATTAATTTTCATTAATCAACTTGCTGTTCAATGCTTCACTGTAATTCACAAGTTTTATGTATTATATGAATAAAATTGCACATATATTTTTATGTGATTTTCATATAATTGAATTCCAAGGAGATTTATCTCCTCTGTTATTAATAAATCTTAATATGGCCTATAACACTCAATTGATATTTAATTAACCTGCAATAACTGCCTTGTAAAATGTAAATTAAATGCTTTATTTTTCCAGGCATATAATGTTAAATCAAACTCTTTATTCTACCAGCAAAGCAAAAAGGAGTGGAGGAAAAACAAGACCACATACCACAAAACCTTAGACTTGAAAATATTTGAAGTTTAAAGAAGACAAAGTGGAAGCTGGATCCATGTTTTGTAATCAGTTCTTCTCCTCGGGAAGCAATACTGTGAAAAATTATTTCTTTTCTACTGACTCCCCACCTTTAAAGATCACAAGAAACTGGGTGGATTTAGATAAAACATCAAAATCTCAGGAGACTGAAGGAAGTGAAAGAGGCCCATTATTAATGGTAAAGTTGCAAATTCCCATAGGTACTGCAGCATTTGGCTTTTTTTTTTTTTAAAAAAAAGTCTTGGCTCCTAGAGTCACATTATCACATGAGAACGTCAATTTTCATTTAAAAATAAAAAAGGAAAAATGTTAAAGCCCTTTGATAGGGAAAAAAGTTTGCAAACTTGCATGTCAAAGGCATGCGAACTAAGAGACGAAAATACATAAAATCTGATCCTTATCTTTAAGAGTATCAGAACTTTTTGAGAGACTTGAGATGTTTAAAAACTGGGAGGTGGCAACAAATGATCAAAACAGCCTTAAAAAGAGAGAGAACAGTCCAAATTACATTTTAAGATCAAACTGCTCTCCTCCTCAAGCAATTTACATAGATCTACATTAAATATTACAAACTACATCAACAGCTACCTCTGATTTCAGACCTGGGATAGCTAGCTGCCTTTGCAAAGTGATTCAGAAACCTCAGGTAAGTATGACTGTCTGAAATTGATAGGCTTATAAAGTTTAACTGCAATAGCATCCAAACTTAGTATATCTTTCTTTTTTTTTTTTTAAACGCACTGAGTGGCCAATTTGTCTTCCTCTCCTTTATTAAATAAGGTATTTCCTCCGTAGGACAGTGAAAACTTACTGTCCTTAATCTGTCTGCATTAGATCACTTTAAGAGGTATTAAATGAAAATCAAAAATTAAATGTACCGTGGATTTTAAAGGTGCCACAGCATGGAAGAAGAAAAATGAAGAGAACGGCTCCTGACTTGTAATGAATGGGTGAAAATAAATCCAGATTTTCTGTAATGGAAGGACTGTCCTGCCCCCTCTGCTCTTCCTCTCCAGTCACTCATTAGCTACCTAGCTTGCATAAACTGCAGCTATTGAACCTCATCCAGCCTAACCAAGTGCAGTAACCCTGCCCCTTGAATTCACCCGGCCAACAGATTTCTCAAAGGGCTCGGGAGCACCATGCAGCAGGGTACGTGATCCCACTATCCCTTAGGGACTCAAGGATGCACACGAATGGCATTGCTTAGGAAAGCACTGCTGACAAGCCCAAATCCTGCCACCCTTCCAAATGAGCAAGCAGCACCCAGAGCTGGGGAGTCAGCAGATGCAAGTGGCCTCATGCTCATGGTCACTGACAGGAGCTGTGCAGACCTGGGTTTAATCCCTGGCTCCAGCACAGACTCATGGGGTAATTTACAGCCAGTTTCTCACTCTCTTTTATGATTTTGGCAATTGATTAGAACTAGCCTCCCCACCTTCTCTCACCTTTCATCTTTTTAATGGAGGAGAACATCTTCCAAAAAAGTGCTGTGTCAGATCTGCCATCAGCCATCGCTTGGGGGAACCTGAGCCCAGTGTGAGCCTACAGACCACAACTCCTTCCCAGGCTAACTGGCTTCTACTCCACTGGATAAACAACATGGCAGGCTTCTCCCCACCCCCCAAAAGTGGGTTTCTAATCAAGCCAAATCCAGCACAGCTGCTGTTAAGGACCGACCACAACCGACAGTTTAAATTTCCCTGCGTAGCCAGGCAAAAGTCACCTGGGACCTGCACCAGAGAGAGAGAGGGAGGGGGAGAGAGAGAGAGAGAGCGCGCGCGGGAGTCCCACCTGCCCACAGGGTGCTCCTAATGATGGTCCTCGGAGCTAAATCAATAATTTCAACCAAAAGTGGAATGGATCGAAAGCTGAGGGGCTGCAAGTTTTCAAAAATGCTCAGGACTTAGGGCCTGGCTGGCTCCCCACAAACATTTTGCCACTGGTTTTAATAAAAGCCAGTAAAAGGCAAGGTGTCGAACCGCTGGAAGTCCCTCTGTGAAAAGTCTGTCTCTATGGGTTGAAAGAGCAGTCCCACCATCACTGTCTTTGACCTGAATTATTTCTCTCTGTTCTGCCCATTGGACAGCTATCTATCTGGCAACCCTATAGGGGCAGTCATGTAGAGCACACATCTCCATCGCTCCCTAGCCCTAGCTCTCACCCCCAGGACCCTCAATTGCTTGGTTGCTCACCAGTCTAATCTCTTTCCTCCCTGCTAGGCCACGTTCACAAAATGGTTCATTCACATCCCTTGCCCATGCTGCCTCCACACTGTCAGTCATATTCTCCTGTACATAGCACAGGGAGCTCCCTCTCCTAAACCCATTTCTGACCGGACTGTTCTCCTCTTACATCTCAACTCAAATCTCCCTTCCTTTGGGGAAGGCTAAACATACCATAAAATGGAAGGCATTTCCATGATGCTGAAAGTCCCCTTTTGTACAGGACTCTCCAAGCACCAGCTTCAGAAGGAATGGAGGGAAGTCACCTGTTGGTCAGATGAGGCTGGTAGCACACCTGTTTCACGGCAAGCAAGTAATCGAGACACAAATGGTCTGTAATCCTGCTGCTGTTGATACCTTTGAGAGTATTCCCGCTTACTTGTACGGGAATAGGTACTGACTATAAGGGATCCTTAACACAAGACAGACACGGTGCTTATAAGCTCTAGGGATCCTTAACACAAGACAGACACGGCGCTTATAAGCCTTTCTCAAAACTCACATCTGGAAATGAGCAATTGAGCAAGAACCAGCCCCAAGAGACGCATCTAAATCAGCCCATCTTAATACTGGGCACATGCTCTTAACTTGCACATTGCTGTGCATTCAAATGATTAATGGTTCAACATAAAACTCGCATAGCATTGTACAGTTGTACTTTAGAGCACAGCCCAGATCAATACACATTCTTTGCCCCAGGAGAGAAATTAGGATTTTAAAGCCAAAGAGAATTAGGTGCCTGATTTCTATTGTATTTCAAAGGGATTTAGAAGCTTTGCTCTCTTTCAGAAACCTCACCAGACTACTTTCAAGGCTGCACATATGCTTGACATGACTCTAGATAATGTTTGTGGGCTAGACCATAAGTGTGGATTATTGCCTCTGAAAAGGAGGGCTTGCTGAAGCAGCTGTGGTTTAATGAAGGATTTGAAAGTGGAGAGAAGCACAGAGGGAAGCTGTGTGAGACAATAAGTCACATAAGAGGAGGCTTAAAAACCAAGAGCAGAAGGAAATGAAGGGATCTGAAAGGAAAGGGGTTTGGGATAAATGAGAGGAAGAGGAAGAGAATCATCACTTAGCACCAAGATTATACAGGGTGACATGCGAGCTCCTTCAGTGCCAAGATTACACCAGCAGGCTTCTGGACAGACTGAGGGAGACAGCCAGGCAACCACATAGTGATAAGTGGGCACCTTGCAATGCACAGGCTGCGCACACTTTGGTGATGTCAACAAGAAGAAGTGATGGAGCTTGATGAAAAAACGAGGAAGACAGACAGACATACAGTGGAGTGGAAAGGGGAAGAGCAAAGGCACTCTGCAGTATTTCTTAGAACCCCAGGAATGTAGATGCACAAAGTCAATCCGTCAGTCTAACATAAGCTCCTGCATAAGGGTAGACATGGCTATGTCTCAACCATCTTGGCCAACCAATGTTTACCTTAGCCGTCTTTGAAACTTCCTATGGAAGTGGAGGTTCATGATAACATTTGATGACAACTTGCCCCAGCTTCTCACCGCTCAACAAGTCATTCAAAACTAGTTCGAAAGAGACCAGGCACACCTGAGTCATGTGTGAGGGCTCAAGACAAGTCCCTTCCCCAGGGAGGAATACAAAAAATGTATATATGGATAAATCAGCTACAAAGTGTTATTTCTCTACATAGCAATCAGGAGAAATGCAAGCAGATCAATTTCCTCACTTCTGAAAGTCACCTGAGAATTCAACAGGATGGGAGGAAAGTGGGGTGTAGGGGTAGGGGAGAAAGGAGGCTACAGAGGATAAGGGATTTGGTGAAAATACAATTCAAATTCCTCAAATCATAGAGTAACCAACGGTGGTAACTTGTTATAGGCAACTCTGGCAAATAAATGGATCAAAATGCAGCCAGTGGGCGCTCAGGCAGAGACTGAGCACTGCAGCGTAGGTCAGGATGGGAACGGTGTAGGGAGGAACAGGAAGCTGAGGGATGGCTCAGCTACGCCTCGAAGCTGAGCTGCTTGAATATAATGGTGTAACGTCACCAGATTGAATTAAACAGGACCAGCTCTGCTCATGGATTTTCCTGCACTAGTTTGCACTGGTTATCACAGATAAGCCACATTAATGCAACTCTGTTAAAATGTTGGGAAACCTCAATAATGGAAATTCACTGGCTAGTATGGACAGATGAATGGAAGTTACACAATTGTTGCCCTATTTCTGAGAAGCACAGCAATGTTGAGTGGGTGCAGCTAAACTTAATAGCTGCTATCAAAATCAAGGAAAGGACTTCCATTGAAAAGGTAACCAGGAGAAAAGTGAGGACTTGGTAGCATTACACAACCACAACAGCTCTGGACTCACACCAACAACAGTAACTCCAGTGTCGGAACAATGTACCAGCTTAGTGATTTGACATTCAGCCAAGGTTCTTACAAAATAAACAGTTAATATAAACCCATATTACTAGTTCTATTAATGGCCTGTCATTGCCTCTCTGCAAATTACTGTTTTGTGCCAGTAAGCT